ACCACCATCTCCTAAGTCCCCCTAGGTCCCAGCCTAAACATCTACTCCGTAATTTCTGCACAAACTTCGGACTTCTCAGCCTGACATTGCACATGCCACCCTCTACATGGAACACATGTCCCCACCCCCCTAATCTGCCTGTTCTGGTGGTTAGTGGTCAGGGCTCCCCTCTTAGCATCAGGATCTGTGGATGGAGGAACTCATTTAGACCCAATATCACAGTTTGTTTAAGGATATGTTTTGCATATACCCTTCAGGATCTGTTTGTTTATCTTCTTTTATTAGAATTCTTGGTACGCAAAGGACCCAATTTTGCCTGTTTTGTATTTTTACTATCTAAGGGCCAAGTGTGCTACCATAAACTTTATAGGACTTTTGTAAATATCAGCTGACAATTTCTAGTGATCTATGTGGGCTTTTATGATCCTGTGCAGATTAATCAGAGTATTTAGTGCCTGCTGTGAGCATAACACTTGGCAGCAGGCGGAGGGGGCTAAGGAGGTGATCCTTGCTTAAGGACCCACATTGTGGTTGGAGAGACAGGATTTATAGCCAGTAAGCAATCATACAAGACACAAGAATGTATGTCATTAAACAGAAAGCCAGGTGCTGCAGGCCTTTAGGGAGGGGGAGGTGAGGGTGGGGGCACACGTGTGTCCACAGCAGCAGGAGCAATCAGAGGAGGCTTCTGGAGGAGGCAGAAACTTGACCGAGGCTTGTTCAATGGAGAGGGGTTAGTGAGAGGTCAGCAAGTCAGCAAGGTAGGGATTTCAGGTCAGTGAATAAACAGGAGCCAAGGCAGAGAGTCAGAAATGAGCACAGCATGTTCGCAGTCTAATGAGGAGACTGCAGACCACAGTGAAGGTGAATGGTGGGAAATGATAAGGTTGAATGCTAGTCAGAGGAGTTTAGGTTGGATGTGGAAGGAAGGAGGGAAAAAACATTTTTGGATAGGGAAGTGACATGGTGTGTTTTGAACAAGATGGATTATTTGTGGGAGGAAAACTGGAGAAGAGGTATTTCGTGCATGACCTGCGGTGTAAGATGGTGAGGTTCTGGATTGGGCCAGCAGCAAGGTTTTTTGAAACGCAGTGCACACAGGTAACCATGTCTGGCATGCCAGCTTGGTGCATTCACATGGGAGTGTTTTATAAATAAGGTCATGGAGATTAAGCCCCCACAACAGTGTGTTAGCAACATAATTGGGTTGTAGCACATGTAGCTGATTTAGAGTTGAAATCTTTTATTTTAGCCTTTCTTCATGTCTGGTTGGCTCAGCCACTAAGACATTGTGTGTGGTTTTGGGCAAGCCACTTAAATCCTCAGTGTCTTGGTTTTGTTGTCTGTAAAATGAGTTTTTTTTTTTTGTTTTCTTTTTAGTTTGACAGAGTCTTGCTCTGTTGCCCAAGCTGGAGTGCAGTGGCATGATGTCCGTTCACTGCAACCTCTGCCTCCCAGGTTCAAGGGATTCTACTGTCCCAACCAGCCAAGTAGCTGGGACTGCAGGCGCATGCCACCACCCCTAGCTAATTTTTGTATTTTTAGTAGAGACGGGGTTTCACCATATTGGTCAGGCTGTTCTCAAACTCCTGGACTCAAGAGATCTGCCTGCCTTGGCCTCCCAAAGTGCTGGGATTACAGGCGTAAGCCACTGTGCCTGGCCAAAATGAGGGTTTTATAGTACCTCATAGGCTTGTTATGAGAACTAAATGAGTTAGTACATATAAAGTGCCTACCCTAGAACCTGGCACACAGGAAGCCTTTAAAAAAACTTATTATTTATTTACTCAGTAGTTCACATTATCACGGGAATATAAATATTTAAATTACCCAATGGGCCAATACATCTAGAGCTGTGCTCAATCAAGGCCCTCAAAAAAAAAAAAAAAAAAAAAAAAGCTTGCTGGAGACATCGCCAAGATGGGACTCATTCAGAAACTGGGATGGAATGTCAAAAACTCCAATTCAAGGCTGAGCAGTGGCTCATGCCCGTAATCCCAGCATGCTGGGAGGTTGAGGTGGGAGAACTACTTGAAGTGAGGATTTGTAGGTTACAGTGAACTATGATCATACCACTGCACTCCAATGTGGGCCACATAGTAAGACCCTGTTTCTTTTTTTTTCTTTATTCCATTTATTTATTTTATTGCATTTTAGGTTTTGGGGTACATGTGAAGAACATGCAAGATTATTGCATAGGTACACGCGTGGCAGTGTGATTTGCTGCCTTCCTCCCCATCACCTACATCTGGCATCTCTCCCCTTGCTATCTCTCCCCAGCTCCCCACCCCCCACCATCCCTCCCCTATTTCCCCCTAACAGACTCCAGTATGTAGTGCTCCCCTCCCTGTGTCCATGTGTTGTCATTGTTCAACACCCACCTATGAGTGAGAACATGCGGTGTTTGATCTTCTGCTCTTCTGTCAGTTTGCTGAGAATGATGGTTTCCAGGTTCATCCATGTCCCTACAAAGGACACAAACTCATCGTTTTTGATGGCTGCATAATATTCCATGGTGTATATGTGCCACATTTTCTCTGTCCAGTCTATCATCGATGGGCATTTGGGTTGGTTCCAGGTCTTTGCTATTGTAAACAGTCGTGCAATGAACATTCGTGTGCCCATGTCCTTATAGTAGAACAATTTATAATCCTTTGGATATATACCCAGTAATAGGATTGCTGGGTCAAAGGGAATTTCTATTTCTAGTTCCTTGAGGAATTGCCACACTGTCTTCCACAATGTTTGAACTAATTTACACTCCCACCAACAGTGTAAAAGTGTTCCTATTTCTCCACATCCTCTCCAGCATCTGTTGTCTCTAGATTTTTTAATGATCGCCATTCTAACTGGCGTGAGATGGTATCTCAATGTAGTTTTGATTTGCATTTCTCTGATGACCACTGATGATGAGCATTTTTTCATATGTTTTTTGGCCTCATGTATGGTAAGACCCTGTTTCTAAAAATAAATTAAAAAAAAAAACAACAAAACCCTCCTGGAATTCCATAAACTTGGTAAGTTTTCTTCCATCATTAGATTGTCCTTGAGGAAGAAACTATGCCACAGATTTGTCCTGACATCTAGCAGAGACCCTTGTTCTTAACTGGTGCTTTATGAATGCTGGCTGCACTGAAGCGAACCATAAGCAAATATGGTTCTGCTCCCTCATCCACTAGATACAGTATTTTTCTCTCTAGACAGGAGCTGCTGTTTGCAAACCTCCCCCACCCTAAATCTGAGCCAGCGAAGATATCATAAAACAAACTTGCTCGTGGGATTTTGTAGAAAAGGCCTCAAGAGGCAAGGCTTTAGACCAGGAATTCTGAAAGTTACACATCTGCTTGTGAATTCCATATATGCCCCATGGATGGGCCGTTTCTTTGGAGGGAACCGTCTTCTATCCCTTCCGATTTTGGATCAGAAGCATCCGTAGGAGCGGTAGCTCAGGCCAGCTTTGTATTGTTACTAGAGCACAGGCAATTCCTCGCCTCTCCAGTCTCCAAAAACAAAGCACACAAAAAAGGACAAGTCGGGTTGTTTTCATCCTCACGGACCAGACACCCCCTGAGGAAGGCCCCTGGAGAGTCTTGTGTCTGGTCCCCAGTCTCTCTGCCCATGTGCCTCCCCAACAATTGAGGATGACTAGTGTGTCGTCTGTGGGCAAAGAGCACCTTCCCATAAACACTTATTTTTCTTAATTCACGCTGAGCTTTTACTTTATTTTTGCTTTAAAGCCACTGTTCTGAAACGTTCTAAAACACCGTAGGAACATGCAGATCGGAACAAAAGCAAATAAATCGAATCCTGTGAAGTAATAAAGCAGACGCCCTTCTCCTAACAGCCAGCAGAAAGCTAAATAAAAAATACCAGGCATCCACTGGATAAAGTATTTTCCCCCCTAGACAGGAGCTGCCGTTTGCAAACCTCCCCACCCTAAATCCGAGCCAGCGAAGGTATCAAAAAACAACTACCCCCTTCAGCTCCCAGACTGGAGACAACAGTTTCAGCAGCACTGTCTATTTCCTTGAGTAACACGAGCGGTTTGAAAGACCTTGGCTTTGACTTCCCTGTACCTGCCTCCAAACACACAAGGGGGCGGGGTGGGGTAGGGTAGGGGTGATATTGCCGCCCCCCCAACCCCGTGGCCCTCTGCGACGCCAGGCCGGGCACTGGGCTGGGGAGAAGAAGGGGGGCACCCTGGATTGGCTGTTCCAGCTGCAGGCAGTTACCTGGGGCAGTGAGTGCTCTCTACAGAGTAGAGCCAGGCTCCCCCATACCCGCGCGTCCAGGACCCTAGGAAAGGAGAGAGCGACTGCCCGGCTCCGGAGCTGCGGGGAGCCCGGGCGAGCCTTGAAGAGGGTGCGCAGGGAGACCACAGCCGCTACGGCCCGCTAGCACCTGTGCTCCCAGGGGGCGGGGCCTCCTCCAGGTGTGCGCAGAGGGAGGGCGGCGCGGAGCCCCGGCGCGCGCGGGAGCTCGAGCGGTCCCCCAGCCCAGAAATGCGCCGGAGGGAGCGCTTCATCCGCACCCCAGCGCCGCGGGAGCCACTGGCACCGCCCGCCTCCTCCGGGGCCACGGGTTTGAGCGCATCGTGCGGCGCGGAGGGGGTTAACCGGGCAGCCCGCCGCTGGAGCGCGCTTAACCCTTTGGCGCCCGCAGGTCAGCCGGGCCAGGCCGGGGTGGAGGCACCCCGAGTCCCACGCGGAGGCCACTCCAAGCGCGCAGGCGGTTCCGGGCAGATCCCCGCGCCGGGCGGCCGACCCTCCGGGGCGCGGCGCGGGCCGTGGGAGGCTCGGGGCGGGCGGGGGGCGGGGGACGGCGGCGGGCGCGCAGCGTCGCCAGGGCGAAGTCGGCGTGCGGCGCGGCGCGGCGGGCGCGGAGCGAGCGGGCGGGCGGGCGCCTCCGTCCCCGGATGTGAGCTCCGGCTGCCCGCGGTCCCGAGCCAGCGGCGGCGCGGGCGGCGGCGGCGGGCACCGGGCACCGCGGCGGGCGGGCGGACGGGTGGGCATGGGGGGCGCGCCGAGCAGCCCCGGCGGCCGGGCCGGCATTACCGCGGCGTCTCTCCGCTAGAGGAGGGGACAAGCCAGTTCTCCTTTGCAGCAAAAAATTACATGTATATATTATTAAGATAATATATACATCGGATTTTATTTTTTTAAAAAGTTTATTTTGCTCCATTTTTGGAAAAGAGCTTGGGCGGCGAGCGGTTTTTTTTTTTTTTTTTTTTTTTTTTTTTAAATCAATTATCCTTATTTTCTGTTATTTGTCCTCATCCCTCCCCACCCCCTGCTGAAGCAAGAATAAGGGCAGGGACCGCGGCTCCTACCTATTGGTGATCCCCTTACCCATTCCGCCCCCGCCCAACGCCCAGCACAGTGCCCTGCACACAGTAGTCGCTCAATAAATGTTCGTGGATGATGATGATGATGATGATGAAAAAAATGCAGCATCAACGGCAGCAGCAAGCGGACCACGCGAACGGTGAGCAGCCAGAGCCCCGGCACCCGCTGCCAAATCGGATCCTGTCACGGTCTTCCAGCCCCCTCCCCCTTCCCCGCGGGGCTGGGTGGGTTGAGGGCGTTGGAGAGGGTGCTGCCAGCTCGGTGTCGTCTACTCAGAGAGGGACATGCGTGACTGCCACTCCGCGCTCCCCTCCAGGCCCTGAATGTCAGAGTTAATTCTGCATTTGTGGGGTGGGGGCGGCCGTGGAGTGTGTGGAGCACTGTGCAGCCGGAGGGGCGGCGAGTCGGGGTGATTCGGGTTCAGTGTCCTCGGGCTCAACTTTCCTTCTGCGCCCCCGGGGGGTTGGCAGGGGGCCGCGAGTCTTCAGCCGGAGCCCCCTTGCCAGCCTCCTCCTCGCCTTTCCCCTCCTCCCCCGCCCCCTCGTTGACTAGGAAGAAGGTCCCTAGTGGCATCCGGAAAATTCTAGGATTGCCCGGTTTCGCCCTCCGCGCCGGTGGGTGAAGTACACCCCTCCCTTCTCGGGGGAGGCCTGGCCTCGGTGTCATCGGGGGAAGGGGCTCGGGTTGAGCGTGCATTCCCGCTCCGTCGCTGGCTGTGCACACGTCGGTAACCTAGCAATGCCCGGGGAGCTGCTGCCGCTGTGGGGCTCCCCTCCCCAGCCCTGGCCCTGGCACCACGTGCAGCTTCCACGCCGGCCGGGGCTGGGTCGAGGGAGGATGGAGCAGCTCCTGGCCAGCCCTCCCCTTTAGAGACCGCCAGTGCCCCCCAACCCCGGTCGGCTGGAAGCCTTTCCGGGTGAGCGCTCCCCTAGGGAGAAGCTTGGCACGACTTGTCCCCCGTTCCGATTGCCCGCTGCTCGGCCGCTTTGCCTCCTTCTCAGGCTTTCAGACTGATGCTTGCTTTGACTCTTCACTTAGCAATAATTGGTTTTGCAAACGCCCATTCTCTACCTTTCTGCCACCTCTCTCACTTTGACGTCTGCTTCAGTGAGGAGACTGGCAGAAGGCGGCAGGTGCCTGGGAGATCTGCCTGGGAGGTGGCCTGACCCAAAGCTGGTGGGGGCTTTGCATAGGGAGCCTCGTTGGGTTTCTGCCTTGTGTGCACCTGGATGCTAGCCTACATGGAGATAATTCCCTCTTAGGCCTGGAGGCCCCTGGCATAATCCAGCCAGTCTATCCTAGGTGTAGGGGTGCAGGCTCACTGCCTTGCCTGTCTCTCTGGATGCTGGCTTGGCTGATGCTGCTGCAATTTAAAATGCAAAAAAGCCCTAAAGATGTTTTCTGTTTTCGGAAGCCTGTGGAGGAAATGAGTCCCAAGCATCATGAATTTTCATTTGCAGGAAGTGTCAGTGCATAATCTAGATATTTGTTATGGGGTTTTTGGTATTGCCTGGGTGCCTGTGGAAGATCCCCCCCTCCACCCCGTACTGAAAAAAAATGCATTTGTGGCTGTGGAAAGATGTTGGAGTAACACCCTGAAAATGATTAAGACTATTGAATTATTGGTGCTGCCTTTTTTTTCTTGGTGCTAGTGGTAGTTATGTTAGAGAAAAGCTGTTGTACCTATCTGTTAACTCATTAGAGACACATGGGTTTTAAAAATCAGAGATGTGGATTAAACGTGCGAATGACCTCAGTTTTGTCAGAAGAAAGGCACTAAAAGACCCTTTGTGAAGACATGATATGAAGGAGTACTAACTCTGCTGGCTGTGATGCAGCAGTGATCCTGTGTGATTGACACTGAGACCAGAGCTCGTGGACTTTCTTGCCTCTCTAGCTGACTAAACCCCAGCTTGTGAAAAATAGGACATAAGATTCAAACTGGAAACATAGGCATGAATGATTACCCTGGTTATTGATGGGAGACAACCTTTGATTTTTTTCTCCTACACATTGGATCCTCATTTAAAAAAAAATCTTTGTTTTTCTCCTTCTCCCCAGAGGCAAACTATGCAAGAGGCACCAGACTCCCTCTTTCTGGTGAAGGACCAACTTCTCAGCCGAATAGCTCCAAGCAAACTGTCCTGTCTTGGCAAGCTGCAATCGATGCTGCTAGACAGGCCAAGGCTGCCCAAACTATGAGCACCTCCGCACCCCCACCTGTAGGATCTCTCTCCCAAAGAAAACGTCAGCAATACGCCAAGAGCAAAAAACAGGGTAACTCGTCCAACAGCCGACCTGCCCGCGCCCTTTTCTGTTTATCACTCAATAACCCCATCCGAAGAGCCTGCATTAGTATAGTGGAATGGAAGTATCCTTTTTTGGGGGGTAGTCTTTCTCGTTTTCTCTTTTACCATCTGTTTTTTTAAAAGGATTTGCTTTCTGAAATGACACAAAGCTGTAGCAGTCTGGAATGCGAGCAACAGAAGTTGTATATAAGGGGTTTCATTGTATATACCTTCCTGTCTCCTCGGGTTGCAGAGGGGTGGCTGTACGGGTATATTTAGCCCACTGTCTGGGTGTGTGTGTAGTGTAGTGGGGGGAGGGAACGACAGCCTGAAACTTCACAGTGGTAGATAATTAAAATGGGAAACCAACCTTTGGTCTTTGGACATTAGATGGTTAGTTTTAAATTCTGTGTTGTTTTGGGGCAATACCATGCATTGAATCTATTGCAAATAAGGCATACAGATTAGAAAAAAAAAAAAAAAAAAAAAAGACTGTATGAGACTCTACTGGAAGGGAATACGTTTTTGACCTTTAGTAGAATCTTCTCATTCTGATGTTCGAAATTTGCTTCTGCAACTACAATTAATGCTAAGGTTGCCTCTAGTCTGACATTTGGCGATTCTAATTATTCAGGTAGCTACAGATATGAACATGTGCTTCCTAGGGAGAGATTACTTTTGATTTTTTTTTTTCTGATCAATGCTATAATTTCCTGGAATTTCCTTTTGACAAGTTCTAAGAAAGTATTTGAAACGTGAGCATGAGGGAGCCAGGGAAGGGAGAGGTTGGTGTGTGCCTCTTATTCCTGAGCCCTTATGAGTTATAGAACAGCCCTCTCAGTGGAGGAATTTGCAGTTGCTGCCTTTATAAAAAATCCTGTCTATGTCCTTGAGCTGGACTTACATATCTGGGTGTCTCCTTTGTATTTTTAAAATTGAACTCCAAATGCCCCAGAATGGTTGTCATGTCCAAGATCTTGGGAAACGATTGTGCTTCAGCCTGCTTAACCCCTGCCCAAATCTGGAGGCCACCCTCTTCAGAGAAGATTGACTGAGGCCTTCTTTCTGAGCAAATGGCTTTTTAATTAGGCAGATGATTCATTGGTCTGGGTAACATAAAGCATTTCCTTTCCCCAGAAGTGTGTTTGGAACTGACAGGGGCCTTAGAGCAATTCCTAACTATAGGAAGGGGTGTGAATATAGGAATTCCCCCCACCAGGCCCAGAAGGATGGAGGGGCCATGCCAAAAGGGGAAGATGTTGGCAACCAGCTAGAAAGTAGAGCTGAAATCCCCTTATAATTTGAGAATCAAGCTTGGCAGCTATTTGCATGCTCTCTGTCTTAGCTGGCTGTTTTCTCTGCTCGTGGACAGGAGTTAAGATGAGGTAACTGTCTAGAAAGGTTTTGGAGAGAGCAGCCAAATGCTAGGGTAGGGTTCGAGGGGTTCTCGTGTGCTTTTTCATTTTGCAACAGATGTCCCTTCTCTAGAGTGAGTTATAGTGTCTCTCACATAGGTGGGGTTGTGTGTGTGCATTTTCTCTTGAAGTTCTCTAGTCTGGGAGCCAGGAGGGAGCTCAGTAAGCCAGCATGTGGCCCAGTGGCATTGCTGGAGTCATGGCAGTGGCTGTACCTTGCCAGGAAGATCTTCTCCTCCTTGGATTGGCTTGACATGACTCTGAGTAAGCAGAGATCTCCTTGTGGGGTCACTAATTTTGTGTGGAATAGGTGGGAGGCCTGATGCTGTTTCTCTTTGTGCACAGTAATGTGTACATAGCAGTTTTTGCATATAGAGTGAATTCCTGGATCACGCTGCCGTCTCCCTTCTTTCAGTTGCCAGACACATGTGTACAGGAGTTAGGGGATGTGGCTGCCAATTCAGGGAGAAGCCTGTTTACAAATGGGATAGTTTGTAAAATAGATAGATCCTTAAGCAATATATAATTTTTTTTTAAATGACAGTTTCCTTCTAATTTAGGGAGCAGGCTATAGAAATCCTTTCCACTCCAGCCAGCTCTGTCAGGCCCAGTCCGCAGTGGGAGAGCCAGGGTCCTTTGCTTTTACCGACAAGCATGAAAGAGTGAAGAGTGTCCTGCCCCCTGAGGGAGTGAGGGATATTCTCCTTATCAGAAGGAATTGTTAAGATCAGACCCATCTATTTTTCTATTGCTCTGTTCTGCTTCACTTGTGAAAATCTTATGGCAGTGAGATGGTATCACTTGTACCTGGAGACTGAAACTGGACCAACATAAAGTAAAAATACAACTTATGTTTAGTCCTCCTGAACAGTGTTAGCATTTCTCAGAGGTGCTGGTTTATCATTTAGGGATTAGAAAATTGAAAAGGAAGAATGGTAGTGTGAGGGAGGGAAGAGACTATTGTGTTTCTATAGAGAGCAACATTGGGGCCCTTGACTTTTTAGATTTCAGTGGGGACCCATGAAAAGGAAAAATGGAAAGGGAATTCTGAAGTCTTCCTGCGGTGGGCTTGTCTGAAAGTTGGATCCCTGGGTGAAAAAGATTTTATAATATTAGATGAGTTAAGAGAACCAGTGTGAATTAAAGCTGATTGGCTTAAAAAAAAAAAACCATCCAAATTATTAAGGGAATAATGTTATTCATTGCCTTTTTTCGATGAGTTGTCAAAGCTCTTTGAGGATGGAGGTTTTATGAAACTCAAGATCTCTGCAGAGGCTGGGCATGGTGGCTCATGCCTGTAATTCCAGCATTCTGGGAGGTTAAGGTGAGCAGATTGTTTGAGTCCAGGAGTTTAAGACCAGCTTGGGCAACATGACAAAACCCCTATCTCTACTAAAAAAAAAATTAGCCAGCCTGGTAGCACATGTCTGTAGTCCCAGCTACTTGGGAGGCTGCAGTGGGAGGATGACTTGAGCCTGGGAGGCGGAGGTTGCAGCAAGCTGAGATTGCATCAGTGTACTCCGGCCTCAGTGACAGTGAGACCCCATTTCAAAAAAAAAAAAAAAAAAAAGATATCTCTAGAGAGGTAAAGGGTATTTGTTTTCTGCAGCATTTTTGGATTTTCCAAAAGAATGTCAGAACAAATGGAGGATAGTTCAGTTTGTATCCTCCAGTTTTATGTATGTTGAGGTATTTAAACCATGGCCTTCCCTCTTGTGGGTAAGTGTCTATAGGCGAAGCACTGTCATAAAATCAAGCCTAGGAATTGCAGATGAGGCTGGTGCTCGCGAAACCTTGCATTTGGAAAGGCTGAAAACCCAAAGAAGAAAAACAGTCATTTTGGCAGATGTCAAATTTTGTATTGCCAGTTTTGACAATGTCTCTTAATAACACCAGAATGTTTAGGCAAGTATTTCTTGAAGGCTGATCTCACAGTGATTCTTCCAGATAGACCACCGAGATTGAGAATTGTTAAACCCTACTTTTAATGTGTCTGGTGCTGATTTCTTATGGCTTTTTAATTTAATTTGTTTACAAATTGAGCACGGTAACAGCATATTATAAACTGAGCTCCAGTCCAGCTCTAATCTGAAGCAGTTATAGCCATCGATTCCTTTAGCAGAGAAAGCAGAGGCAGGAGCTGAAGCCTGGCTCGCTGCGGATCACGTCTGAGGTATTGGAACATGCCATGAGAAAGTCACAGGTAGAACGGAGAAGGTCCTGGTGACTTGGCCTGGCCCAATCCAGACAGGCGATTTAGGCTGACCCTGCCAAGAATAGCCCCTGAGAAAATGGCTCTAACACATGGAGGCAAGGCTCTGCGGAAGAGATTTACCCCATGATGACTTCCCTGTGTCTACAACAGCCGGGAACTTAGTAAGACCCTTGTCACTTTTAAACCTATAAGAAGCAGAAACCTGGTTCACACAGTGCCCTAATTGGATGTACTTTTAGGTTTCAGTAGACAGTGTGCAGCAGAAGAATGAGTGTAACATGATCCTTGCAACAGAAGGAAAGGACGTTTGATAGGAGAGGTCATTTGATAGGAGGCTCCACTGTGAGATGACCACTGACGATTACTTCTGCTGAAAACCTAGCAGTTTCAGCAGTCAGCCGAAATATGATTTGTGTATGCCATTTTCATTTTAAAGGTGCTTCGCAAGTGGCGTGAGCGGGAGTGTGATGAGGGACATGGTTTGTGTTTCCATAACACATATATACCTTAACAAGATTTTTCAGACCATTTGACATATTTATATTATTGGCTATTTTTGCCAATTGTGTGGCCTTAGCTATTTACATCCCATTCCCTGAAGATGATTCTAATTCAACAAACCATAACTTGGTAAGTGTCCTGAGAGTTCCTGCTGGTCCTGGTATATGGTTATCGTTTGCTTCTATACTTAAACTGGCAGCTTGCCTTCTGGGTGGTTGAAGTTTACAGCCATGCATGTGGTGTTTCTTGGAGCTTTGCAACAGTGGTTTTTTTGTTTGTTTGTTTTAACCTGTATTCTCAAATTTATACTGAATGAAAGTATTTAAAGTCATGAATCTTTTATAAATAGATATGGGATTGTTATGGAAGAGATTTGTAGCAGATTTTCTCTCCACATAAGCTTTTGCTACCATTCTTTTCCTGATAATAGTTGTTTTTGTTTTTGTTAAGTCTAGTGTTCTTGGGAGTGGTGGGTACTTTGGCCAGTTGCTCTGGTAAGTAGAGAATTATCATAGACTTTGTACATGAACTATTTTTAGAGAAGTAGAATACAACAAAACTAATAAATCTACATAGAGCATAATTTGGAGAATAATATGTATTATTGAATACGTGATATGGTATTGAAGTTTCTACTCCATGTCCTGTGAAATGCCCCGCATCCTATGAAATGTCCTGAGATAAAATAATTGTATGGTTAAATGAGTCAGGATGCTTTCATATACTTTGCTGCCTTCTTAAAGATTTATACTGCATGCTAGCTTAGTAAAAGCTTTGGGAAGTTCTGCAGTTAAAAAACAGGTTTCCTTTTGTTTAACTCAGCTAGTCCCTAAAAGTAATCAGTCATAAATTCTTTAAACATTTTTTTTTTTTCTTTTGGCAAAAGACTTTAATATCATGGAACCGGTGGTCCATGGAATTTCCTTTGGGAAAGGTTGATATAGTTAAAAAAAAAAAAAAAAAAAAAGCACTGAAGAGCACTGGATTGCCACTAGGATCCTGTCGCAGTCACCTGTCAACTAGTTGTATTTGGGGTCATTTTTCATACCTTTCTGCATTGCCATGCGGCTACCAGCAATTGGGAGGATTGGATAAGAAGATTGCTAGGATCGTTTTTACCTCTGACATTCTGCAATCTTTCTTTGATGATTCAGAAGCCATTTCAGGATTTTTCTGGTGCTGCAGCATCCTTCTTGCAAGGATTGGTTCTTTGTAGTCAGAAGCCATGCAGAATGGTAGATGAAGGGGAGCCCATGCCGGATAACAGGAAACTCTATTGTTTTTCTTCTCTTCTCTTAGCTGGTTCCGTTTGTTTTTGGCTTCTCATGTTGAAGCTCTATTTTAGCAGGGCTGGATGTTCCTAACTGAGCGAGCGTTGTAAAGGCAAACACACTAGGCTCTCCCTTGTGTGGGAGAGCTCTGCTGGCTTCTGAAGATAGTGAAATTATGCTCTTGTGAATAAGCCTTAACAATTTATGTACAGGATTTCATGTTACATTTAAAATGTTGTGGCACATTTCAGATGTAATGTGATGCCTATTTGTATTTGGGCTTTGGTAGTTTGATATCTAGAGAATTTTCTAAAAATTTTGGGTATTGTTGCTGAAAATATAACTATAAATGGGAGTTGGATAATCACATAAACACTGGTAGTATGTATTTTTACTATGCCAGAGATCCTTTGTGTAACTTTGAACATTTTTCATAGCTTTTGATTTGCTTGTAGCCATGTGACACTAGATGATTGTTTTAAAGAAAAAGCAGACGTGGTGGGAAGCCTCCCACCGCTGGAGATAGATTATTGTAGTCGAGGCAGAGATGGTGTTAGCCTTCTTACCAAATTTAATGACGTGGATGGTGACCCAGATTGTTGCTTTTTGTAGCTCAAGAGAACACGATTAAACAAACTTAGAAAATAAATACCTTTCAGAAAGGCAGATTAATTCAGATCAATGGAATAATTAATGTAGCTGCGTATGTAAGCCAATTAATATTCTGCAATTTTCGCAGGCAAATTCAGGGCACTGATGTAAGTGCTGTCAGACCATTTGGATTTCTCAGCTAAGAAGTGAGGAAATGAAACACAAGAAACGGATAAATCTCCTACTTCCTTTTGCACCCCTCTCCAGTGAATCCTTTCTTGACAATTCTTAAGCATTGGACTTTATTTTTTTTTTAAGGGGGATTTGGCAGTGTGTTAATTTGGCAGGCCTTTCTAAAAGCCAACATATATTCCTTTGACCTCTTCACGTGGTATTCTGAAACTCATGGCATTCAACTTTGTGTCTTACTTTGACTTGGATGGTCACATGGCCAGATGAGTTTATACTCTGCTTTGCTCTTTAAACACTTCCTTTCCCACTGTGGGAAGGGAAGATCTTTGTGGATTTCCTTCTGACTTTTAGCAAGGTCCCATGCCATGTTGGTCCTCCCATGAGGGAGCTATTTTTTTTTTTTTTTTTTAAATACATTTGACCCAATTTGTACCAGAGTGATGGCTCTATTTTTGGGATTGGTTTAGAGGCAGCTAAATGAAGCTTATTTTTCATCTGTAGTAAATACCTTTCATTTAATGTGAATGGTAAAATCAAAGGGCAGAGTCTGCAATGAGTTGGAAAGCTGCATGTATCCGGAGGCTGCTGGTCTTCTTTGCCTGATAGCTCCATTGGAAAGGTGTGTGTTGAGCAGTTAGAGTGAGATTCAGGGCCAGCTTTATAGGTGATGTTTCTGCCTGTTACCAGTTACCTAGTAAAATTACTACTTTTGTTGGGCAAGTGGCCATTCCCATTGACCCAATGTGTCTTTGTTCTGGATAGGATGTAACTCAGTTAGTTTTGGGATTTGGAAACTACCTTGGGGGGCAGAAGTTTTCCCAAGGATAGTTTTTGTTCTTTCTTTATTTTTTAAAAATATAAACACTCTCAAGTTTTTATGCAGCTTTCATTTATGGACTTGCAGGGACTGGTGGAGGCTGAAGTCATGGAAACGGTGCAACTCAGTTCCCACAGTAATATCCCCCTAGTTCAGTTGGTAGCAGTGTTTCCTCAGTTCCACTTATAGAAAGCAAATGTCATTGATTTTGTTTTCTTAGCACAGAGGAGGGGAATGCCTCTGTATCAAGTGTCAGAGTGGGGATGATTACAATATCATACTTCACTGTGATGAAAAATGCTTTATTTTTTATCATTCAGTTTCTTCTAAGCAAACTGACATGGTTGAACAGTTTTGAGTCTGTGTAATCTGTCCCCGGTACTCTCCCTCCCGATGCTACCTCCTAGTTCTCTGGCGTGTGGAGCTGCTTAAAATTAAAAATGTCCAGAATGAGGATCTTCATCTGCCAAATCAAACCTTCCTTGATCTCTACTGATGGCTGCACTCACCTCTAAGCCACCTCTAAACCAGCACTAGGTACTTGGAGGGCAAGGCCCAGGGCCCATACCCCTCTATCCCCTTATCTAGCAAAGGGCCTGATATAGCAGGTATTTTTTAAACCAAACCGAAAGTTTCACCGTCTGTGACCTTTTTCTTGCCCCTCTTCTCATCTTGTTGCTGAGCTTGTTGGGTTTTGAGCCTGTTGACATTTTGCCTCTAAAGGCCCACAAGTCCCCTTCCTGTCCATTCATTCCACTGTCAAGTGACTTTTGCTGGAGAAGTGATCCTGAGGCCTCAGTGTCTACTCATTGCCTACTGGGGTAAGGCCAGAGTGTGGCCAGGTTCAGCTTGGTCTGGTCCAGCTTTATTGGATTTTGTCTCCACTCCTCTCCTTTATAGCTCCACTCATTTGTCCACACAAGTTCCTAAACACCCCTCCGCCCCCCACTTGTCCACCTCCTGGCTTCTTTATTTGAAATGTCTCTTCCTTCATACTGCCCCTTCTTTTTTCTTTGAGACAGGGGTCGTCCAGGCTGGCGTGCAGTGGCGTGATCTTGGCTCACTGCAACCTCTGCCTCTGGGGCTCAAACAATCCTCTTACCTCAACTGCCTGAGTAGCTGGGACTATGGGCACATGCCACTGCACCTGACTAATTTTTGTACTTTTTGTAGAGATGGGGTTTCACCATCTTGCCCAGGATGGCTTCAAACTCCTGGACTCCAGCAATCCACCCACCTTGGCCTCCCAAAGTGCTAGGATTCCATGTGTGAGCCATGGCGCCAGCTTCTACTGCCTCTTCTTTACTGTCACTTTCCTTGTAGCTACTCAAGAATAATCTCAGATCATGTTTCTTCCATGAGGCCTTTCCTGAAACTGATCCAAACAATCTAAACCTCTTTTTGTGGCATTTTGCACATAAAATACCCTATATTTTTTTATTTATATGCACATCTTTATCCTCTCAAGCATCTTCAGAATACAGTGCATAGTGAAGCTTTCTGAATCCCCAGCCACGCCTGATGCAGTGGTAGGGGTGTACGGTAGATGTAGATATTGCTGATACGCACCAAGCAAGCAGCTCTCCCGGGAGAAGCACCTCCATCACTCCTTCCTCTGAGCCGTGTTTTGGATTTTCATGAGGGGCATGTTCCTTTGTGGATTCCTTACAGGTCCTTAGCTGGGAATGAGTGGGAAGGTATACATGTTATTCCTGAAAAGCTTAAGGTCTGTGGCCCTTCTTGTGTACCTCTGGCTGAGAGAGCCCTCAGTGCTGGCTTTCACAGCTGAGGAGTCCAGGAGATTTTGTGCTCTGGTTCCAGAGCTCAGAGTAGCAAAAATGGTGGGACCTATCTGAGAAGCAGTGCTGGGCTGTGGATGCTTGTCTGTGGGACCAGATGCTTTACAGTGGCCAGGAATGCTGTGGGACAGCCTACTTTGATGGCTTTCTTTCCTCCATGGCTAAGATCTGAGTGTAGTGTTAACTGGACTTAAAAAGCAAGTCCATTATATCTGTGTGGTCATGTAGTTCAGCATCACATGGCTTTTGCATCTGGTGGTGTGAACCGTAATACCTGAAACACAATTTCATAACCTGGCTCCTTGGGCTTAGCCTGTATGGTGGGGGTTAGGTCTGTACGCCATTAAGACTGCGTCATTGCTTGGTCTTCATTCTCTTGGAATTGAGCTTTCTTATTTCTGTATGCCTAGGTTCTGTCTATTCTTGGACAACTCCTATGCTGCTTCTTCCCTTCAGCCT